GCAACATTCAAGGCCAGGTTGGATGGGGCTCTGAGCAACCTGATCTAGTTAGCGGTGTCCCTGTTCAGTGCAGATGGGTTGGGCTAGATGACCTCTAGGGGTCCCTTCCAACCCAAAACATTCTATGATTCAGCACAGAAACCCTGCAGCTCTTCCAGTTTGAGGAGAAAACATGGGCCATTTCCAGGGGAGTGAGGAAAGACGAGTTTAGGCAAAAGTCTGCAGTCTTTAACCCAACACCAAGGACCATTATCAGTAAATGGCCAGGAAAAGGGAGATGTGGACTATCCTGGTTGCCAACCAACAGCAGGCTTTGGTTGATACCTCTGTGCCCCCACCCCATGCAGCCCCCTCAGCACTGCTGTGCCCCTCTCCTACCACCTCTCCTCACTGCTGTTCTGTCCTGCTGTCTCATCCCATTCCTCCATATCCTGCCCTGGCCATGCTGCCAGCCCCACTGTGTAGCAGTGGCTTCTCCAGAGCTTCCTGGGTGGCTCAGAAGGGCTGGTTTGGCCTGGCCCTGACCAGAGGAGAGGTGCTGGCAGAGGCCAACAGCAAGTTCAGCAAGTCCCAAGAATGTGGTGGTGTCATCCCACAGCTCAGCATGTCCCTGTCTGCCTGGAGTGACAAGAGATTCCCTCAGGAGCTCCAAGAGCTGTGATTGGCTGCTCTGCCCCCTTCTGGAACCTTCCAGGGAAGGCCAGCCAATCAGGAAAGGACCTTACATGCTGTGTGAGGTTTTCCTTAGCGGGGGATTTTCTGTGCACCATGTTGGCATGAAGGTGTCTGTATTTCTGGAGGGGTTATTTGGGTGATAATCTGATGCTGCTTGTGCTTTGTCCTCATCACATGTGCAGGTGGGACACAGCTCACTGTTCGTGGAGTCTTTGGCCAGAGGCACTGCGCCCTGTGCACAGCCAGGCCTGCGGGCAGCAGGCATATTGTGCGTAGGTAATGGTTGGCTACACCTGATGGCAGGAAGAAGCCCTAACTTTCTTTTTCAACAGATCTGTTAAAGCCTTGTCCTGATAGTGGCTCCTGTTATACATGAGTGCCTTTGATGTAAAATTAATGGCTATAACCAAGTCTCCAGTGAACTTCATGAACTCTCTAGTACTTCTGCAATTTTGCGGTTGAGAGCTTCTTTTGGTATCAGCCTGGAAATGTGACACTGGCTGTACTCTGTGTGGTTAAGGGCAGGCTGCTGAGGCAGGGGGGGCTAAGAGGAGGAGGTTTGTTTTGGTGAGACTTACTCCTTTTTTGGTTGGATGAACCCTTCGGGCGTGACTTCTTCATTTAGGAAGAGCTTCAAGGCTACTTGTAACAGGCTTTTTAATGTGAAAGAAGTTAGTCATACTTGGCAGGTGTGTATGTAGCCCAGTTAGGGTTCATGTATTACTCTTTTTTTTAAATCATGACTGTGAATAAAAATATGCCTCTGACTTTCTAATAGCTGACTAGAAGTAAAAGAAATTGTCCTGTCGTGCACACTACCAGTATGAAAGAGTTACTATCTCTTTGCATGTACAAGATCAGGGTGTAGTGTTTGTCATCTGGACATGAAAATTCCAGCTGCCCGGTAGAACCAGCTTTGGCTTTTAGTGCAGGATTGCAAATATGAAATGCTTCTGTGTGAACTAACAATAGGAAACAGCCTCCCTGCAAACCGCAGGGGTGAAGAGTCTCCTTTGTACATAATTTCAATCATTACATTGGATCAGTAGTACAAAAAGATTTTATGGCAAATCACTAGCCAAAATACCATGCCCATCTATCAACTCTTTCTTGTAATGATAATTTATTTATTTGCCTATTGTTTATTGTTATTTATTGCATATTTGTTTTCTCTGAGCAAGTGGAAAAGTGAATTTCTCTAAGAACACCGTGAATCTTAAAGTCACCCTAGCTGCATACTCGGAAACTGTTGACTTGTTCTCACCAAATGAGCTGTATTTTGAAACAGATTACCAAAAACATTAATAAAAATAGATCCTAAATCCCTCTTTAATTTTCTTTATTTGATTATGCTGTTGATGTGTTCTCCCCTGCAGGCGTTTGTCCCACACAGTGAGGTGAGAATTTTTCCCTCTGTTATGTTTTCCATCCACTTAAGTAATACAGCCTGGG